AAGACCTTTGCATTTGTCATTTGAGATGAAATTTCTTCAAAGGTTGGTATGTGATAATGTTCTCTCAGTATATTTTGGTTAAGGTGCTGAGGATCTAAACACACTCTTAAATTACCATCCTTTTTCCTTACTACCACTAATGAATTCACGAATTCTGTTGGTTGGTTAACTTTCTTTATAATACCATCTTTTTCCATTCTTGCTAATTCCTTTTTTAATGGATTTAATAAGCTAAGTGGAATTTTCCTACAGGGTTCTATTTTACCAACAGCTCCTGGTTTTAATTTAATATGATATGTATATCCAGTTAAATTCCCAGTTCCTTTAAACAAATCTTGATATCCTTTTAAAGATTCTGGTAACTTTTCATTAGAATCAGGATTTACTGTACAAATCCTTTGTATTAGGTTTAATTTTTGCAATGTAGGTAAACCTAAAATAGCTGGAACAGTTTTATCACATGCTACGAACTTGAAATTCTACTTCATCCTTGTCCCCTTTCAATGTTTCACATAATAATTTTTATTTTCCAACTACATCAATTGTAGTACCATTGTAATTATTTAAAGTGACTTTTGATTTAGTCAAACATTTCTCTCTTAAATTTAATTGTTTAAATTTAGGCAATGGTAACATTACACTGAGCTTCCAGTATCCAACTTAACAAATAAATATTTAGATATGTTTAATAACACACATTTTTAGTTTTTCTTTTAATCAAAGCCATTCTGGTTTTATTTTTAGAAAATGGATTTGTTATCTTCTACTGACCCTAAAATATATTCATTACCATTATTATGCAACTCATGCTCTAAATTATTCTGTACAACATTAACATTTTTATAAGTGCACATTTTAGAAAAGTGATTTCTTTTTACAGTACAAGCAAATCTTATTATAAGCAGGACAGTTGTATAACTTATGAAAAGTTCCACATTTTCTACATGGTTTTGGATTATTGTACTTATTTCCTTGATAGTTTGAAGAAGATTTAGTACTTTGTTGCTTTTGTTTTACATGATAGTTTTTCTTACCAGGCTGACTCTTTCCCTCTGAAGGTCGGAAATTTATTACGTTTGATCACTTCGCTTTTTTATTTTCTTCAGTTAAAGTTTTCAGCTGAAGTTCTGCTAATTCAGAAGTTTTACAAATTTTAATACATTTCTCCAATGTTAACTGAGCAATGTACCTTAATAATCTATATTTGAGATTTTTATTTAGAATTCCACTTACTATTCTATCCCTTATTAAACTATCTTTTAATTCTCCAAATCCACAGTTGCTACTTAATTTCTTTAAATCGGTTAAGAAATCATCAAACGATTCACCTACATGTTGTGTTCGACAGAAAAATATATGTCTATCAACACTTTCGTTTGCTTTCGGTATGCAAAAATTTTCGAAAGCTTCAATTACTTTGTCAACATCCTTCTTATCTTCTTCACTTAAATTAAAAGTATTAAATTTTTCAAGTGCTTCTTCACCAATTATATGCAATAAAATAGCTACTTTAATTTCAGGTGATTTAGTAATACCACCAGACGCTAACATATAAATTTGGAATTTTTGTTTCCATTTCTTCCAATTTTCGCTTAAATTTCCTTCAAAACTTAGATTACTTGGTGGCTTTAATCCATCCATATTTAATTTAGGACTTTAAATAGTTTATATATACGTATTTTTAGCCACTTCCAATAAAAATAAACAACTCACTTACCAGCGATGTAAGTTTCGATTTCACAGTAAACAACTTCCCATCATGTTTTTGTTTAGAATATCTTTACCCACGCTGCATGGTTCTTCAAAAAAGATTTTCTTTTTTTAATCTACGACGGGCTGCGCCATGTATTGTATTTTATATATGTTGGGTATGTGCTCAGTGATGATTACAAGATGTACACAAACATCGTTTATTCTACATTGCTCATCCACTATTCTACATTACAGTTATGATTAAAGATAATAATAGATACAGTTACATTACATATATAACAGAGGCTATGGCAACCATTCTTTCAGGAAATACATGGGCTAAACAACAACATATCATATAAATATTATATATCTATCGCAGAATCATATAAATATATATCATATAAATATGGTTCTGTGAATTAATTTCCCTCTTTCTAACACCTTTAATGATCAGAAGTATAGTTGATCCTTGCTTAATCATTTACATGTAAAACTATTAAAGTTAGATCTCCCTCTTCCATTATTCCATTTCTACATTTTCATGGTGGAATGACATGATTAAAACTTTAGGTAATTTTGCATTATTAAATATGCAGAAATATTATCCCAAACGTCTGCTTCTAGTGAAAATAATAGTAGTTACATGGTTGAGGATAGAGTTGGAACAGACTTCAGATGGTAGTAAAAATTATATCAGTCCATTTAAGATTAGTTCTGTGCCAGAGTTCAATCTGTCATACTGGTTGGTAGAAGCTGTTATGCCAGTCTATCAGCAACTGTTGATCAGACATTTTCAGTTGATGAGAGATCTGAAGAATAGTCTGACCAATGTTTAGTTGGTTACCTTGTAATGAGGAAACTTAGCATAGATGATGTATAGAGTTTGCACTGTCGAAAAATGGGATAGTGAATTTTGCAAAGATATGGCATTGCCATATGCATTAAAACCTGAGTAAATGTAAGAGTGGCAAGTTGAAGTATTCAGCTGGGAGACTGTAAGTGAATGGGAAGTGAACCAAATGGTATTCCATCAATGCAGGTCCTGGATTGGTATGAATATGTAGAATGCAAGCTTCCAACAACAAAAATTCAGTAACTTTTTTTTTATGATCAAAATTTGAGACTTATTGGGGCGAATTTATTATTTCTTCTTACATGACCTCCACGATGAAAAAAAATTAGTAAACATGATTTCCATTAAAAGTTCAACCTACCTTTGTTTGCTGAGTGAAAGAGTGCCATAATTTCAAGTAGATAAGCCGCCCTGGCATATACGCTGCACACACGATAATTGATTTAAAAAATGAAAGTTTATCAGATAAGCCACACCGCCGTAGCAAAGCATTCCGAAACATGGCACTTAATATTCATTTATTCAGGAATTCCCTGCCATATTGATGTAATCATCATTGATAACATTTTATAACATTTACAACATAAATATAATCCGTAATATATAAATAAACGTCTTACCTCAAACTTGCCGAAAATGAACTCCGATGATTTCTAATAGATGTTATTTTTACAAGTTTGGTAAGCTTTGTTTATCACTATAAATTACCATATTGTAAAAAGGAACACATAAATTAGATAAACAGAAATTTTTAATTAAACTACATTTATTTATACAAAACCTTCAAAATCCGACTCATTGATGTCAGAATTAAATAAATTTAACAAAAATGACCATCAAGGTCAATTTCATCATTTTATTCTAAATCACTTCTTTCAATGTCACTATCTTCTCTTTCCTTTTCTTTATTGATGATTTCCGATTTAATGAAAGCCGGTTATATCAACTGGGACTGATTGCCATGCTTTTATTGACCCATAAGGCAGCATCCTCACACGAAGCTCATTCATCCGGAATTTGTGAAGGAATGGAGTCCACTCTCTATCCATTCCTCCCACTGCTTTCGTACTTCATGCTTGAAAATTCTATTGATAGTGAGATCCAGCGGCTGTAAAATTTTTGTAAGCCCACCTAGTATTACTGAGACATCGATGCTTATTGTGCTTCAGATCTTATTATATAAATAAAAAAATATATAGGGATGGATCACATTGAATCCAGAGCAGTGAGTCCTCCAGGGTTGTAAAAAAGTATCTTTCCTTTTTCGAAAAATTTCTCTCGGCCAAATATCACTTCTTCGCTGGCACAAACAATAACTCCATTAGGGAAGTTTCCTTTCGGAATTGTTTTCTTTTTGGAAATTATCAAAGGGGCTAACTTCTGTCCATTGACGGCACAACTCAAAACACAAGTAAAAGAAGTCTTTTCATTCCCTTGTGTTAACACTGAAATAGTTTTTCCACCTATTGAATGAACAGCTCAGACATACAAAAGTAATGGGCACTTCATCCATATTGATTATTTGCCATCTTTTGAAATTTTGTTATATAATTTTCTTAGATGTGTACTAAAAAAAAGTTATCTTTTTTCCAAGCCAATCCTTTGTCCAACTGTTTTGGTCCTGACAGATAATTTCTTTCACTTCATGAACCTGAAGCACCAATTAGGTCCTTCAACAAAATTTTTAATGCCCATTTGTTGAGCAATTCACCTTTGCTTAATGTCGAATTCTAACTGTTGATACTGATAATCCACTTTCTCTCTGCTCTGTTGTCCATTTCTCTAAATTATCTTCCAAAACAGGCCAGGCTGTGACACCATTTCGACGAGATCTTTTATTCTTAGGCATTTTCTCTGATTCTTCTTGTTCAGACTTCAACTGATGAATGCATCGCTCGTCAACTTAAAATTCTACAGCCGCAGCACAATTTCCAATTTTAATCGCTTTCTTTGCTGCCAAAAGCATAAAAGCAGCTGTATAAATATATGTATGTCTTTACAGAGTGCTATCTACCTTAGTTAAGGGAGTTTGAACTTTTGTACTTAGCACAATCTGAGGTTAGAATATTGCAGCAAATTCTTATTGTTTCGCATGTGCGTAACTTATGATCCGAGCTAGCAGTTTTAAGGACAGAGGAAAAATAAAATTCCCTCAGATACACCACCAAACTAAAATTTCAACTTTTAAACATGGATAAGCCGTGGCTTATGTACCCGAAATTACGGTAATTAATCTTGCCTGTAGTCTGCACTTCCTACAAATAGGAACCACTTGCATATCTTAGCATGTTCTTAGGTTTATTGCACATTTTCTTCATAGTGTAGCAATTTTAATGGCAGGCTGTGTGTATAGTTTGTAATCTACTTTCCAATAGAAACAATATCTTAAACTTTGTTTTACTGATAATTTTATTTTAAAGTACAGAATTTTTAATAAAATATTTGTGATTAGTTGAAACATCTAATGCTGGACCAGGAAACTTGGAAGTTACTGTTAATAAAGGTCAAGTTGCAACAGTTCCTCAGGCACAAAGTCCAACACAGTATGCAATATCCTTCACTCCTCAGGAAGCAAAGTGTCATATTATAGATTTGAAGTTCAATGGAGAACCTGTTCCAGGTAAAAAAAAAAAAAAAAAAACCTCATTGCCTTACAACTTCAATAAAATTTTGAAATTTGTGAATTTATTTGATAATGATCCAGTACTTTATATACATGCTCAAATTAGATCTTAAAATTATTAGTTCTTAATCTTATTTTGGTTAACATAGATGATGATTAAATATTTTCATTGCTTGATCAACATTTTAGAGATTTTAATAACTTAGAAATACTGTATTTACTCTTGTAATTGCTCTACATTTATTCAGTATTTTATTGCTGGAAAATTGAGAGGGAAATCATGTAAAGTATAGCATAGCTGAAGGAAGACGTAAAAGGGAAAGAAGAATATAGGAATAGATAATGTTATTTTTACTATTTGTTGTTTATAATACTGTTGTATGTATTTCCAAAACATGTACTGCTATCAATCCTTTGAAGTAAGCATAAAATTAAAGTTCTTTTGTTCAGCTACATATTTGAAATCTTGGAATTCTAATTAATTTTGAGACCCGTAATAATAAATTTTAAAAGAAATCAGAAAATTGTAAAATGTATCTTCAATGACCATAATATTCTGTTTGAACTAGTAGCTGGAAGGTGTTAAATTTTCACCTTTAATAAAATATTAGAGCACATTCATTAATGAGTGTATATACAGTGCAAAGACCAAGATCCGGACTTGTCGGGACTTTGGTGATTTCGGATTTCAGAAATTTTCGATTTTTAGATCATCAGTTTAAATTCATTAAGATGATATGTAGAGATTATAAAATTAAAAATGTTAAATAGTTGTTTATAGAATAATAAAGCATTTATGAGTAAAAGAATTAAAATTTACAAAAAAAAATCAATCTTTGTTTTATTAAACATTACTTTAAATGTAAGTTGTTTAAGCTGTTTTTTCCTTTTCTTTCTTTCTTTTTTTTTTTCCCACTAATAATATTCCTTTCATTTTATAGAGAGACGTAATTTCTTGTTAAATTAAAAGTTGCATTCTTCAGATCCTGTAACTACTGGGTCAAAAATTTCCACTAAACTGTCAATCGAAATTTCTTCATTCTCAGAAATCTCTTTGTAACTTCACTGGATTTAAAAGCCATATTACAGATTTCACTATCCATTAGTTGGCAGCTGATTGGTGCATTGTCCTCACTGAGAAAACTTCTGTTATATTATCTTCACTTATTATCACTTCTCTACATTTCATCACATTTCCATTTATTGCAGAATTTTGCTTTTTATAGCGTTCAAAATCTGTGCCAAAATAAGGTTGCCATTTGGGCTACTTTTGAAATCACAAAACTAAATTGCATCAACCAAATTGCCATGTTTTTACGTTAAGAAGGCAAGCACCACATATGCTTTCACTTTGCAGATCGTGCTACTTCTCCAAGATTAGAAAGTCTTTTTGACATAATCAAAAATTAAAACTTTGATTTTGTTAATAAAGTTTAATAATAATAAAATTCAAAGTAGAATAATTTGTATCAAATTAGCTGAAGAAAAAGGCAGTTTGCTATGTTAACTCAATTTCTTGTAAATCTAATTCTTTTTTTGTTCTTGCTGTTATGGGGGGGATTAGCAATATCTCACTGTAAACAAATATATTTGGGGGCTTATTGTTTAGGCCAGATAAAAAAATATTAACCCCTCTCACCTCTAGAATCAGTCAAAGATGAAAGTGCAGTCATGCCAAATATCAGTCAGTGTACTGTAATTCGCCATGGTGTGATTCTCTAACAGCAGATGTTTGAAGGTGACATATAGGCTTCTCAGTTAGGAGAACAAAAATAGCTTTTACAAACACATTACAAAATTTACAATTATACAAAATTATTATACATTATTATACAAATATGTTTTATATTTTAATTTTTCAATTTTTATTATTTTATTTGTTTTTGCAAAGATAGCATTATGTTTCTTAATGTTCTAATGTTTATTTCAATTACTTTGAGTTCTATTTCATAATTCCAATAAGATTACCAATGTTTAATTTTTATACAAATAGTTTAACATGCATAAAAGCGAAGGTGTCGGGGGACAATTACTCAAGTATTTTATCAATTTTACTACATAAATTGCTTTTTATTCAAAATTTGTATTAGCAAAAATGCTTAATTCAGAATGAGTTATTTGGAACTCTACTTTAGTTCTAAATCCCTTCACTTCACAGAACTATTTGACCTAACTTAATTTGTCAGTTTGGCACCACCATTATTGCTTGCGTAAAAGATGAAACACCTTCGTATTTATTAATTATTGTTCATTGAACAGGAGTTGGTTTGTTCCCCTTGAAAAGTCAACTAATTTCCGATCAATAGCAATAATTACTTGCTTTTAATTTAATTTCTTTTTCAAAGTTTGAAATTTTGCTATTCATGATTTAATTCAAGTCCCCGTAAAACATTTTTAACAATTTACATTCAAGTTACTTTAAAACAATTTTCAGAATTAAACTTCCTACCTATGGGTTCACTCTATTTAGATACTTCTACTAAAATTAATATTAGGAGATAATATAATCAATATTTAGTAAATAAAATATTACAATATACAGTTATACTTATTATATATAATAATCGAAATAGAAATTGAAAAGCTGACAAGTAATGAGACGCAAGACCTACTTGGTCTTAAAAATTTTTTGTGCAAAATGCTGCAAAAATATGAAATAATAGGAATAATTTTAGCAAGCTCGCTACAATATTTCTTCCTATTATTATTATATAATATATATATGTATTATACAGTTATAAATTTAAACAAATTTAAATTTTAACAAACATGTATAAAAGTAAAAAAGCAAATTTAAAGCCTAAAAAAAGAAAGAAAGCCACAATAATTAAAAAAAAAAATTTTTTTTAAATGTGCAAACATATAAAAGATTTAATTCTTGAACTAATCTACAATATCATTTAAATTCAGAAGCATAAGCAAATCAAGTGCAAAACCAATCCATGAAAAAAAAATTCACTAATTTAGCAAATTAAAATTAAACTAAAAATTTTTTTTAAAATGTATAAGTGAATGACTGTTGAGTAAGTAGGCAGGAGACAGACTTATCAAGGGGAAGTTGTCTTCAAACCTAACTCTCCAATCATTATTATATATAATATATATTATACAGTTATTTTATATATCTATATTATACAGTTATACATATTATATATATATATATAATATGTAATATTGTGGCAGTCGGGCACATCAATGATGAAACTTGGTGTCGGAATTCCGGACATTGTTTTGGCTGGGTGTAAGACATATCCAATGATGACACAGAAGAATTTAACTTTTTAGCTCCATATATTTATTCAGTGCAAATGGCAGATCATTCAAAATTACATATGCGATAGTAATTTATACTGAATATGATTAAATTTACTGCGTCATACTACTCAAACAAAGAAAGACAGAGCAGCAGCAAAAAGGTGTTACAGCGGCAGGTGGAGAAAAGCAGTCTGACGAAAAATGGTGCGGACTTTTCATTTATAGCAGCAGTTATGTAACATACCCGGATGTTCTCGAATGTACTGGTCTAGGGGGAAGATTCTGAAATTGCGGAAAGTTAGAGGTTGCCTGTTTGCGTAGACCAAAGCCATCGTATTTTTTACATATATATTATAATATACAATTATACTTATTATATATTATATTACTATTTAACTAACACATTACAAAACATTACGCTTTTTCTAGAGAATTGTATTTTCAATTCCTAAATTTTTTATGCAGATATTAGATCATTCCAGATATTGGGCATCCAGATTACGGACTTTATAATGTATTTATTTCCATTAGTAACATGTAACTTAGTTTTATGAAACATATACCACATTCAAAGTATATTTCATGAGCTGTAATCATTTGTTACCATGCAAGTGCAATATATAATTTTAACACCTATTACAGTTAACAAATAGGTAATAAAAGGAGTCACTGGGGCAAAGACATTACATTGAGGTGACATTTAACTGTTGCAGCTGCTTTTTATGAATTATCTTACACTCCCATCTCAATGCCTCTTGCAGATTCAGTTTTAAGGGGGAATTTTTTTGTGCTTTATATATATATTTAACTTTTTCATCTGCATTAGAGGGAAGGATGAATGTTTAGGATTTTCAAGGATTTAATCAATGAGCTTGAAATGTACGCTCAAAATTTGTCAATTTGAAAAATTCTAGTAAGAGATCATTCTCATGGAGAAGCCCAGCTATTAAATTGAGGATTAATTCAGAAATTATGTGAATAAATCAGATATTTGTATATAATACCTTGAAAAATGGACTATATACTGACTATGTAAGTACAATATAGTGTTTTAGTTACCCATTTCATGGCTCTGAGTGGTTTAGAAGGCCTGAACTTTAACAATGGAAGTGCTGATAATTGGTGATAAGCAGTATTAGTAGCAAACATTAACTAATTTCATTCATTCAAACAAAAATTAATTAAGGATGTAAAAATAAGGCATATCTTATGTGATTTTTTAAAATATAAATCATGGAATCATATTTTTGACTATCATACTTATGTCTTGAGGGCATTTACAATGAGGTACAGTTCTGTAATTTTTTTTTTAGATTTAAAGCCGCCAGAAAACTTTTTAAATGATACATAGGAAGCACTTGGTCTGACTTGTATTTCTTACTTGAAGACAGGATACCCACATTTCCCATAAAGATAATTTAGAATTTAGCAATTAAATTAAAAGTTTCAAAACTACTGAATATGTCTTGCAGGCATGTAAACCAATTTGATGGTGAAAGCAGTTTGGTGGTGCAGTGTCATGCTAGTAGTTAGAGTCATTGTTTATTCATTCTGTTATTCTCACCATCACATTCATCTGAATTTAAATTTTACTTATTTGTATTTATCATTATTACCATTACTATAAAGAATTAAATTCTGATTTTGTAGCATCTTGCTTCTTTCTTTGCAATGTGTCATGTTCATTACCTTGGAGCTGTCATTATTTTGTTATTTTAGGAGTTGCTGTACTGGGTAATCTTGTAAGTAGACCACTTTTTTTAAAGTGTGCACGAATAACAAAATTTCAGTTTAATGACCAAGGATCAATATGAGCCTCTCCTGTCAACCTATTTCACTTATTTATATGCATTAAAAAGGCAAAAAGGCATAGGGAGTGCTTTTAAACTACACTGCATGTGAAAATTAAAGGATATCGACTGAAATAAAGCCTAGCTATTACATACTGAAAAATGGCTTAAAACAATTTGTACAAAAGCATTAACATAAATTATCTTGTTTTCCAGTTGATTAATCTTTAAATATTGACTTCTGTATTCAAATTCAAATAACTTCCAATTGGTGGAAATTTAAAAATGATAGAAAATGATCTCCTTTGTTTTGCAATATATCTTTTTGTAATATGTTGTATGGTGACCTCTGTCAGAAATTCAAACTTCATTATTAGTTTCATAGAATTTACCAAACTGTTGAGCAAACTTTGTAGAATTACATACCACTCTTCTAAAAATGTACTTTTTGGTTGCCTAAAGCATTCCACACATGTTCAATCAGGTTCAAGTTTTGAGAGTAATCTGGCCAATACTTTCAAGTGATATCTTCTTTTCCCAAGTATTCTGATGTCAGAAACACTTAATATGGATCGGCAGTACCATCTTTTATCAAAACATCTGGGTGAACAGATTTTTTGCTAATAATACCGTAATTTCGCACGTATAGTCCGTACCATCGTATAGTCCGCAGACACGATTTTATATAAAAAAATTTCAAAAATCGTCAGATAGTCCGCGGACTATACGTACAAAATTACGTTTTTTTAATACGGCGATATTAATGTATTTTAGAAACAAAGAACTAAGTATAAATAGAAAAAAGTACTTGCTTACTAATATACCTTCAGAAATAAAACGCTAAATACAAATGAAAACAGTGCTTACTAGTTAATCATATATTAATTAATCATTCTACTACATTCAGGAAAACTTTCAAAGTCCGATTCATCGGTATCAGAATTAAACAGTTCTAATATATTTTCGGGAAGAATGTCCGAAAGTTCATTTTTAGCATCACTATCTTCACTGTCAGTAATTTCCTCGCTTTCACTAACAATCCTGGCTTTTATAAATCCCGATCGGATGGTTGACACTTTTCCAGGATTTATCGACCCATTCGGCAACTTCACTGTAAGAAGCGCGTCTCATATTTCCTCCTTTTGTGAAAGTATGTAAACCTTCCGACATCCAGATCTCCCAGCAAGCACGTACGTGGGACTTGAAACTTTTGTTCACGCTAATATCCAGAGGTTGCAGGATTTTTGTTAAACCTCCTGGAATAACGCTAAGTTCAGCACCGATGTTTTTTTTTTTTTTTTTTTTTTTTTTTTTTTTTTTTTTTTAGCTTCCGCCTTTACCCTGTCTTTTATGTGCGCCCTCATGATGGAATCCATAATAAGTACTCCTTTGGAATTGAAAAAGGCACCTTCTCTCTTCTTCCAAACTTCTTGAAACCAATCGAGCATAATGTCCTCGTTGCACCAACCCTTTTCATTGCACCGTATTACGACGCTTCGAGGAAAATTTTCCTTGGGAATTGTTTTTCTCTTAAAGATTAAGAGCGGCTTCAACTTTGTGCGGTCAGCACAGCAGGCGATCATCACTGTGTATTGGGTCTTTTCTTGACCAGTTGTTATTGATATCGTTCTCACTCTACAAGTATCGACGGTGCGATTCGGTGGGCAATCAAATGTTAATGGAACTTCGTCCATATTTATAATATTTTTTAGGGAATACTTCCCTTCTGCAATAACTTTCCTTGTAAACTGAAGGAAAGAAGCTTTTTTTTTTTCATCTACGTCGTCCGGAACAGCCTGACACATTGTCGTTCTGCTGCGAACTCTCAAGTTTTTACGACGCATGAAGCGGTAAACCCAATTTATTCCCTCCCTTGAAATCCGTTATCTGCGCATCTCTTCTTCTGCCATGGACTTCGCTCGGAGACGGATTTTAACTGTTGAAATAGGAGCGTCCGGCATTTCTTTGGTCGAGAACCCATCTCAGTAAATTTTCCTCTAAAGCTGTCCATTTTACTTTTCCGTGCCGATTGGATCGCTTTCTTCCCATGCTTTTTAACACATCCTTTTGTTTGCTCCAATTTCTCACCTCTTTCTCGTCCAGTTCAAAATAACGGCCCGCTTCTCTATTTCCATCTTTTTCAGCTTTCTCAACTACCTTGAGTTTAAACTCGGCAGTAAAACTCCGGCGATGTTTCATCAACGTCATTGAAGATGAAAGACAAAATACGAAAACAAAATACTGTGCAACGTGGTATCCTCGTGATAAGTGGTAATGAAATGTGACCTTTGATCCCACTCACTATCACTATGTGTTGCCAAACCACGCTATAAGTAAACGAATCACGGTTTTGTTTCGTACTCCAGGTACACAAGCTCTAAGGCTCCTAAAAATCAAGCTGGCGCATCAACTACTTTTCCCCCTCCCGGCAGTTGCGCTAAAGCAGTGCGAAGGATACTGGGATACAAGACTGGTTGCGCTGAGTGCTCATATCCGTCATCGCTTGATGCGCCAGCCTGGATTTTAGGAGCTCTACTTGCTACTACTCATTCGTTCTGCACTATGCTCTATGGTTTACTATCGATACGATACATACGAATGTTTTCTTGGAATCACGCGCTTTTTTTATATTTGATCATCGGCAGTTCATGACAGCGTGTTTTTTAAATTTCAACGATTTTAACCGTGATCAGCCAGCGTATTATCCGCACTGGTGGATAGTCCGCAGCTTCAAAAATTCGCATTTTAAACACAGATAGTCCGCGGACTATACGCGCGAAATTACGGTACTAATATTTTTGCTAATAATAAGGACAATACTGATCCAAAACATTTGCCCTTAACTATATTACACACGGTCCTGAAACCTCGTCCACATATCTGTGACTGGTTACAGAACCTCTATTAAATGCATACAGCTGAATAAAAGTGTATCATTTTTTACAAACATGCATAAAGCTGAAGCAAATTAAACAGTAAATGAACCATTAACAAAAGGAACATAAATTAAGGTATACTGTCATAGAGGCCAGATCAAACTAATGATCAACAAAAGCAAACAGTGCCACTACTTTGTGCAAAAGGATTGACAAGCTTCAGAGTTTATATTTTTTTGTTAGAGAACAGAAATATTTCTGTGCTTCTTAGTGCCAACAGAATTCATTACAAAACATCTACTATTTGCACATCAATTCATTGCTGCTTAAAAATATAAGTAGTAGAATTATTTGTAATCTGTATACTTCACAATAGTTTGTAAAATAAAGGAAAGAAACATAATCACAGTTATGATCATGATAAAGCTACCATAGGCATGTAAATGTGGGCCAAGCTTCATTGTAAATTATTTTGTTTTATTTAATCTTGAATAAGAAATACTTAAAAACTAGAACAATGTTAGTAATGTGTCAGTTTGTCTTTCAGATTTACTAAATTATATTACAGTATTTGTACAAAATATCTAAATCTAAAAACGGAAGTTACTGAAAATGCTTGCACAAAATGCAGTTAACTATTAGGGAAATAAAACAGGAGGCAAAATTTTAAACTTGTTATAATTATGAAATCTCTAAATTCCTTTATTGCTAATGTTTCTTTGAAAATTCTCACAATTTTAATTCTGTTTCTTTCTCAGTTAATTGGATTTTGAAAAAATAGAGTAGTAATGAATAAAATATCCAATACTAATTAATAGTCAAAGTTTAAAAGTTATATGTAATTTCGAATTTTCAGCAGAATAACTGTATAAAAATATATACTTCAATGTAGCCATTATGATATAAAATATTGAATGGAATAATATTTCTGTCTATGCGATTAAGATAAAATATGTATGGTAGTTGTTAAATATATATAATAGATGAAATGCATATAATAGGGATAATGTGAATTCTTATTACTGCAGGAATAAATTTTACAGGTCATCATGAAAACTGTTTTGGAGAATCCACAAAATTTTATAGCTGAAATATGGATGAATGGGAAACATGACAAGGTTATAATTTTCTAGCCTAACAATAAAATGTATGGTTCGGTTCTGATTTTTATTCTTGGGAAATTTATAGCATATCATGTCAGTGTGGTTTGAGATATATTGGCGAGACTAATAGTATGTTAAAATTTCATATCTATGAACATAAATCTTACGCTCGAAAAGACTAAATTAACAAGTCTTTGATAGCTAATCATAATTGGGAATTAAATCATAATTTTGACTTTGGATCTGCAAAAATTATCCATAAAGTTGCTTCAATTGAAGACTTTCACAAAGATTTATCTTGTTTAGTTAATGGCTTTAAGTCTAAGCCAGTCCTTCCTAATTCTTCTAATTTAATTTTTCAATTTTGTTGCTGTTTTTGCCGACAGATGGTCCTACCATCTCATTTGCTTTTACTGCCAAGGGTATAAGTCACTGTTGCACATGCTGCTTTCCAATTTTGCAGATTTCTTTGCTCCTGATGAAGAGGGGTTATTGTTTTCCCTTGAAATCGGTTGAGTTCTTGACTAAATCTCCTTTAAACACAAGGTTGTTGCTTTGCTAAATTTATGTTCATGAAAAATATATTAATTCTAAATATTACTTTTAAAGAAATTTGATTTGCTCATTTTACTTAAATGGAAGAATATAAATAGCCAAGGTTAGGAAAATTAGGATGGGATCCCATAAATTATTGTAGTAAACAGATTAGGATTTAAGTTTTTTGGGTTTATTTTAACACTCACTTTGAAAAACCTCATTGCATATGAAAGACTTAAAAGTGTTAATTTGTTTTATTTTAAAACTTATGAAGTGATTCAAAATGTTAATATATCTTTTACTTTTACTATATTAACATTGTGTTTTTCCTTTCTTTTACCCAAGGAAGCCCATTTGAGTGCCTCGTAGTTGATTCAACAAAAATTAAAGTAAAAGGAGATGGTATTGAAAAGGTTGCTGTAAATACACCAGCATCATTTATCATAGACTGTGGTGGTGTTGATGTAGGAGAAATTCACTGCACAGTTTTTGGTATGTTCTGCAGGTTTTTATTAATTTTAATGCTTTGATTACTAAAACTACAGATCTGTGATGCAATTCGAGAATGTGTCTTCATATGTTGTTTTTGCATTTTATTTGTGCTCATTTTTTGTCATTTTATAAAATATGCATGTCTGTCAGTTTTAATGTAATTTTTTTTTCCATGTCTGTAGAAATTTGAGTTGTTTTGATCAAGGGAATGTTTAATAGTTAGATAGTTTGTGACTATAAATCAGATTATTTTTTAATATTTATCTTAATACAGATAAAAATACTTATAAACAATCCGTTTAAAAATATGCAAAAAATACTTAACTGTTTATTTACCAATATGTTATGTTAAAGAAATGTAAAAAAACGTTCTGATATATCTGTTGTATTATTTTAATTGTTAATATACTCTTTACTGTGTATCTTTTGTAAATATTTTATTATTTATCTGTATTAATTAGATTAACATCCTTTCCTTTTATAGGACCAAACCAACTTCCATTGAAATCTTTTATTCATGGAAATTACAATAGTGGGTATAAAGTAGAATATACTGCAGTTGAAGTTGGTATGTAACTTTTATTCTTTTAATACCTGTTCTTTCATGCTGCAGTTTCTAATCTCGATGTGCATGAATCTAAAATAAGCTGTTGACTTATATATTATGTATTTTAAGATTTTTTTGACATTGCCTTTTTCAAAATCATGAATCAGATCTACACTCACATGCTAGTTGACAGTTTAAGATTTCAACATTTTATCCTCCCCCCCCTTTTTTTTTTTTTTTTTTTTTTTTTTTTTTGGCATTTTAGTATTTTTGAGATACCTAAGCAACTCATTTCAAATATATTATCGAATTTGCTCATCCACTGAGCAAAAAGCTTTTTAAATAAAGCTCAAAATTAAAATCCTTGTGTTATCTTCTATAAAGAGCACATTTTCTATTTATTCCACTTTTTCATGTTTTTTGAGCAGTAGTTCTAAGGAAATTTATTTCATGAAGTACCAGAATATAACAACATTCATATTTTTTAGAACAGTTTCAAAGCTGGTAATAAAAGGTTTCAACTAGTAACAAAGTTAAAATGGTTTACTTTGCCATGAAGTAAAGCTGAGCCTAAATATTATTATTTAAAATTCATTTTTTTAAATAATGAATTTAGTTATAATGCTTCAAATATAACCATACTTTTGAGGTTCCTATGTGGTATTCTTTTTTTATTTTTTTTAAATGTTTAAATGTAATAATTTTTTAAATGTTTTGTGTTATATTCACATAAAAGCCATTTATTTGTGTTGATGAATTAAATGACAGATGTGGTTAAAATGAAGTTTAAAGCAGAATGAAATGTTTTCATTTGACATGCTAAAACCATGTTTAGACATAAATGCTAAAATAGAAGTTTTTGTAGATGACCTGTCTGCTTCACCAGCTGGAGCTATGATGAATGTTTCATCAGGTTTTCCATCTTTTATTATTCTATGCAGCATTACTGCTCAGAAATGATATCCAGATATATGATGCACTGAAAGGGAGATCTCTGTTGCAATGTGATCTAATGGCAATTTCTAACATTCTCTTATTTTAAGGCTGCTTTTGTGGCAGAGTTTGTTGATGATTTTGGCTTTGCCCCATTCAGTTATTGAACTTTGTTAATTATTTGATTAATGTGTGTTTATATAACATAATTTTAAATGTGTCTGTTCTGTAAGCATGCAGGTAGTTAGATCCTCTACTATTAGATTCAAGTAAAAGTATTATTTAATGTTTTACATCATTTTTTCCCTTAAATTTTTAATTATTTTACTTTCTTTAACCTTTTGAAGACGGGATGGCCATTATGGTGGCTATAGAGTCCTCTCTTTGAAAAGACGGGGTTGTCCACTTTAGTGGTCATGTCTTTTTCCCCCATTTTCCAGGCTGAAAAGTGGGGTGAAATGTCAAATTTGACATCCCTGGGGTTTTAACCACTTATTTCTTTCAAAGGTCTTCCTTTTACAACATAGATGCAGCCCTCTGAGAATCCATTAAACTACACACAAGAATCTTTGTTGCAAATAGGAGGTGATTTCTTAAAGGGGGAGGGAAGCATTCGGTTCAAGATTCCCCGTCCTTTGGTAGCTTTTACTGCTACCAAAGCACCGGCCTCAAAAGGTTAAACATATTAATATTTTTAAATGACAATATAGATACTGCATAAAGAAATAAATATGTGATAAAACTTTCATAGTTAAACTGGGTAATTTAGTTACGTATGAGAAATTTCAGCGTCCCAGAGGTAGAAAACTTTAACCTTCTTTTTCAGGCTCTTATAAAATTTCAAAACAGTACTCTGAACTTACTTTTGAAACTGATAAACCTAATGTTCTCATTAAAGGGAAACCGTGCATTCTGTTAGATTTAGATCTTGAAACCTTGCAAATAAATTTAACTGTTAGAAAAAGCAAAATACATTTTATGTTATTTTAAAGAAATTCAGTTATTAAAATTGCTTTTGTTATTGAATGTATTTATTACTTGATATGACTTTTTTTTTTTTAACCCAGAAGACTTAACGCTTATTTTATTCAGAAATTTTTATATTTAACTTTAAATGTGAAAAGTGATTGGTGATGGATGAATTTGAAATTGGCATAAGATTTAAAAGCAATAATGATAGCATATCTGAGCATCATTCCATTTTGTCCTGATTTTGTTCTTTTCATCAGTTTTAATTAATGCATTAAATGTGATATGAGAAAGTATCACTCTATTTTCAATGAAATTTAACAGGTGCAATTTTACTTGCATAATATTTCAAATATTTTAATTAAAAAAGTCAGTTTGATAATTTGGAAAACTATGTGTATATTAAAAGTTACATTTATTAAAAGAAAATCATCAAGGAAAACTTTTATTGGTTTAATTGGTTAAATTGGTGGTAGAAATTTTGCTTCCATTAATTAACATATCATCTGCATTTTGTTTACAGATACTTTAAATGAGTAAGATTAAATGTTGCTTCGTTTTTTGTAAATATGTTAATTCTTTTGCTTTTAATTAGTTGAATATTACTTCTAAAATGATAAGCATAGATTAAAATAAAATAAAATTGAATTTCAATAAAATCCAAAATAATGTGAAAGGGTCTGATTCCGAAAATAATGTTTTAATAATTTTTAGCTTTTTAAATATGAAAACTTCAGAGAAAAATATGTTATACTTCTTTTTCAATTTTGTCAAATCATTACTTTTGTTAGTTTTCTGATGTAAAGTTTAAAAAAAAATGCTTAATGTATCATTAAAAAATTTACCTTTTACTGCTATGTTGAAAAGTCTTACTTGGGTACTATGAACCTGTAACTAACATAATTGTTGCAAACAATTTTCAGATATGCTGCCTGTTATAAAAGATTAATGATTTTTTGTGATAAAAATGGTCTTAATATTTAAATTGAAAATAATGAAGACTTGATATTCCCCTTTGAAATTTATAAAACAGTATTAAGTGAAATGTGGTGCTCAGGATCCCGGATATATATATATTATATATACACATTGCTCTATATATACGTATTTTTATACAAACTTGAACTTTTTCTGAAATGGCATGCCAATTTTTTGCACAGTTCCATTCTATAACATAATTCCAATGTATATATATATATATATACATTGCTCTATATATACGTATTTTTATACAAACTTGAACTTTTTCTGAACATAATTCCTATAACATAATTCCTGGAAACCTGAGCACCACATTTCACTTAATACTGTTTTATATATATATATATATATTATATATTATATATATATATATATATCCTAAATATATATAGAGAGAGAGAGAGATATATAGAGAGTAAGAAGAGAAATTGAGAGAGAGAGAGAGAGCGAATAGGGAGATAGAGGAGAACGAGATATAGAGAAGAGGAGATATATATATAGATATAGATAGAAGAGATAGAGATGAGATAGATAGATAGAGAGATGAATAGAGATATAGAGATAATATAGATATAGAGAGAGAGATAGAGATATATATGAGAGATAATATAGATATATATATATATATATATTATATAGAATTATATATATATAATATATATATAATATATATATATATATCTATATCTATATATATATATATATATATACTATATATATAATCCTATATATATATATCTATATATCCTCTCTCTATATCTCTCTATATAACGGTACTTTAAAGTTATGAAATTTAAAACTTATTGATTGACTAACTAGAATGGAAGATACAATGTTGTCCTTTTTCTTTAAAACTCACTGTACATTCCCCAAAGCCTTGATATGAGGGGAACAAAACTCTAACCAGTTCTTACAGTCTGGTTTAGAATATTAGACATATTAAATGATTAAATATAGTATTGTGTCTGGATCAAGCTTTCATCTTTATGTGTATTACTCATAGCGTGTTCTCCTTAGTTAGAAAACGAGCAGGGATAGAACATGCCATTTGTCTCTCTAGACTCCTAATTTTTGCTTTGGAGAGTCAGCTGTGGTCATAAGCTGGCTGAGGGCATTTTACCAGTCACATTCCTTTTGTCATTTATTTATCCTCTTTGACTCTCATTAAACACAAATATATGCATGCATAATTTCTACCACCTTCAAATTTTATTATTGTAAGGTACTATAAAATTTATATTCACACTAAATGTGTATGACCTGATTTGAATATACTAGTACTCTGACTGTCATTGACTATTTTAATCTTCATACATTTTTTATATTTGCCTAGATTTATGTTGTGATAAAGAATAGTTTGAATTATGGTCATGTTTAATAATTTTGATATATGTATACAGTACTAAAAGTCAGTTACCTTTTTATATGTAATTGCTTTTAATTGCTATTGTATTTAGCATCCCACAGCTACCAGAAAGCTGTTATATTGTTTTGCTTGTAGAGGATATTCCCTTTTCATGTAATTTTTTTAAAATATTTTATGTGTTATGTTATTTTTTAAGCTAATTGTTTAAAAAAGCTTCATATTATTATAGTATAGAAATGTTCCTTTACAGTAATATATGTAAATAGCTATTTTAATATATTTTTTGAAGATGTGAAGTATGTAACAAAGATTTTTTACTTGGGCTTTATACTGAATATGTCAGTTTTGTTGAAAAGGGTTGTGGAGGAAATTATGTAAATGTTATTCAAGTATTTCAAGATATTATGTGTTATTCATATATGTCACTGATAGTGAGTTCCACTTATTTAGAATAGTCCTTTTTAGCACTTTAAGAGAAGATTAAATGAATTTTTAAACATTTGAATTCTGTCAATTTGTTAACATCATTAGATTTATATGTTTTATGTAATTTTATATTTTGAAATGTATAGCTTATGATTTTTCTGGTTTTAAGTTAAATTGCGTTCCTCATTAGTTCCTGAAAGAGTATAAGAAGAAAATGACAGGGAATAGACTAACTTCAAAATGCTGTTGATGAAAATGTTCTCTTTCATACCTTTTATATCATTCAAATTATATCAAGTATTTAAAGTTATACAGTAATATTTCTCTTTATTGTCTCTTCGTCGCC